CCATAATTGAGAAGTAAGAGGGTGTGAATGTTTATTTTGCGTTTGGGATCCACTTACTTGCTGAAATTGTCGAAAATTTCAGCTTCATAGCTTCCGCAGATTTGGAAATCAAAACTGCCGGACAAATATAAGCACAAAGCACACACAAACACACACGCATACACAAACAGGGACAGACAAATTCCCTATGTTTTTATGATATGGAGATGCAAAAAAAAAGCATAAAAACAAGACCCACTCACAATAAGTACACTTCCCCACAAAGAAAACTGCAGCGGTGGAGTAGGACTCATTGCAGCGAAAACGACAATAACACCAGTCAACGCAGACGACGCCATGGCAAGCAGTGCTAACACGGATATCCGACAGGTCTTGACAATGAGAGGCAGGAAGCAGACAAGTGGCGAGAATACATTCGACAATGTCAGACCAAAATGATACGTTGTCTGAAAAAAGTTCAATCATAGTTAAAGTAAGCTTATCTAGTTTAAAGCAGATCTCTAACCCACCCCAAGTGACCTTTTTCTCTTTATTGAACATCGCTTAGTCAACTCACATCCACCACCAGAAAGCCGAAACAAAATGGGCAAAGGAAAAAAAAAACCGAAACAACCAAAATATAATTTGTTGGAGAAAAAGTATGAATTTTCAGTACTTCTGCAGAAGTCACTAACAATTCTCCTCACCTTCCTCGCGCAGTAAAATGAGGAGTCAGCATTCAGCTCTCCTTTTTATTCTTTAGGGAATTCAAAATTCTGGACTGACCGCCACTAGCTCCCGGTTCATAAACATCTCAAACAACTGACCTGAGAGTAAGGTAATGACGCATAACTCTGCACGCTTGGAATAATTCCATTCATTTGAGCATTAACAACAGCCATGAGAAACAGTAATAATCCGCAGTGCAACTTATCAGCAACTGATGTGTCTCTGCTAGTACCCATTTCAGCGTATCGCTGGAAAATTAAACTTCAAATATCGCTGCATCGAAAATTAATGCTTCCTTGCTCCTAATTATCAACGCTGATCCATCAACGCAAACGAAAGACGAGTAAAACTAGTAACATCCGATTCACTAACACTGAGCGGACTTGATTCATCAGTTGGCGTATTTGCTGGTAAAGCTGCGGGCGTAGAAGATTTCTTCTCGACAGTTGTCTTCGATCGTGCCAACATTGCGAAAGCCACTGTGGCGACAACCATCCAGGCAAATATGATTAAGTAGTATTCAGTAACTCCAAAACGAAGAGCACTCGCTGTACGCACAGATGTTCCATTCACAACGATACAATCACTGCCACTACCTACAGCGGTAATCAAGAAGAAAATCTGCTCTTGAAAAACCAAAACCTCCACAAATTACACGAATTCACTGTAGAGTGTGTTCTTACACAGTTATTTACATGTATTTTGCTAAACTTTAAATGAGTGTTGTGTTTTAGAGTTGGGAAGAACTGCTAATTTGATGTGAACCGCTACTGATAGCGGTGCATTCAAGGAAGGAATGGAGGACCAAAACTGTCGAAGTGGGAAAAAATGCACGAAACTGAGCAAAAAGATGCAAGTTCCAGCCGAGTTAACGAAAGTTTAAAAGCTGAAAACTTTACTGAAGGTAAACCGCTGGACTCATGGATTTACAGCTGCCAATTTCAATGCTAAAAACAAAAATATTGAAGCAAACTCAGCGCCATTTTGCTCAGAGCCATTTTCAACTGTGGAGAGGGGGAAGGAAAAGCGTAAAATTGAATTATGCTACTTATTATGCGTTTTGTGCTGGGCAACAGCAACACAGAACGTCCCCATTTGTGTGTGTCCGAGTGCATTTTGACCCGCACTTAAAACTTAGGAACCACAAAAGCTAGAAAGATTAATTGTAGAAGAATATTCCTTTCCCACGTTCATGCGCGTTTGTGACGAGAGAGGCTCCCACACCTCGCCGCTTGCAGGTAATTTTAACTGCATAAATCGAAAAAAGGAAAACAAACCCTGAATAATCGAGACTACACTCGGGAACAAGGCGCTTAAACCGACGCCAACAAAGTATGCCGTCAGGTAAGAAGCGTGAAATGCAGCCATATACGGCATGAACAATACATTTGACGTGGCGTTCACCAATGCCATTCCTGCAAACTATCGTCCCGCGAACCTGGGCAACACCACCTGGAACCCTAACACTCTTGACCATACGGAGATGGTACAGAGTACGAGGGAAGACTAACTCCCTCTCAAACGCATAATCAGCTGCTAGCATCGCTAAAAATGTTAACAAAAAAAAACAGGACGGATCACAATTCCGGTGTAT